GTACATAGTGTTACCAATTACATCACGGCAATATGTTGTTCTCTTTATTATATCTCTTGCCTGTTTTACATTTGGTATTATTTCTCGAGATCAAGAAAGACGATATGGAAATGTTATTAGATCTGAGCTTAGACACACCAATTTGTATGAGTAAGTCTATTAAAATTAAAAATATTTAAATCTTATATTTAACATTTAAATTACATCATAATTTAAAACAACTTTGTGTAACTATTGTATGATTTACTGAAATTTAAAATATAGATTAATATTTTAATGAAACTATCTCAAAGTCATAATGCATTCATTTTTATTTATGTTCGACTAATATAAAGATCTTTATTTAATTATTCATTTATGTGAATTTTCACATTGATATTCATTCATATAGCTTAAATCAATATTAATAAAATATATCTGCACATAGAGTGGACTTTGCAAATGATGACCATATCTCCTATCTCTTGAGCAGTTTCTTATCTTTTACTAAATTAGCTTCTGCTGTTCCATCAACTATGATTATTTCATCGAAAAATAAGGATTCCTCAAAATTAATCAATACAACGTGGATTAATCATAAATCTCATTTAAATTCAAGACATTATTATAAGAGTCATTCGATTAAATATCAAATGAGTCTATTTACGAAATATCGAAAAATTGACAAACAACAAGATCGACGAATCAAGTCATTAAAAAATCATAATATACATATTCGACGGCGATTGAAAGAGCATGTTATTTCGACACTGAAAAAAAGTTATACAGAACATAATATAAAAAATTCCCAATTAAATAAATTTATACGAAAATATACAAAAGATCGAAAGTCAGTAATTTACGATCTTCAAGTGGATATGTACAAATATCGTTTTAATGAAGATTTACATAATCACTATTTTAAACTAGGATTATCGTTTAGTGATTTAGAATTTAAAAATAGACAGAATATTAAAAAAAATTTAATATACAAGCTACTTATAAAAAATGAACCGAATTTTTTTATATATCGAAATTTAAAAAAAGAATACCATGAATATTATGAAAATAGATTTAATTCTCGAGAAAATAATAAAATAATTACTGAAGAAAAAAGATTAAATTCTAATAAAAATAGATCAGTAAATCAAAAATATCAGCTTTTCGATATACAAAATCGACTTGATTCTAGTATTAAAAATCAGCACATAATGGAAAATAAAATTTTAAATTTAAAAATTAAACGTCAAAACAATGGTTTAAGAAACAAGCATAAATTAGTTGGCCAAAAAATTGTAAGAAATGAAATAAAATATCAACGGACTTATAAAACTAAATTTATAGTTCGTTATTATATACGAGGTGAAATGTTTCGTTTAAAAAAACAAAAATCAAGTAAAAATATCGATAATAAAGATAATATTGAAGAAAATGCAAGATTGAACAATCGAGTAGTTCCAAAAAATAGTATTTATTTTAAAGTAAGTAGTCGAAATATTAAAATAATAAAGTATAATATAGAGTATAGTAAAAATCATAGAGGAATCTCTCAATCAAAAAATTATAATTTATTGGCAATGAATCAATCTTATGAAGAAAACAATCGACCAGTAAATAATAGAATGCAAACATTTCCCAAAAGAAATCAAAGAACTTTATTTTCCCTTCAAAAAACCATCAGACAAATTTATGAAAATCGATTCCATATCGATGTAAATATTATTCCAAGAACAAAACAAAAAAGCAGTAAAATTATTAATAAAATCGAACTGCAAAACGATTATTTTGAAATTAGAAGAGACATACAGTATACTTTAGTACTAAAAATTCGAGAAAAAGAAAGCAAAAGGCATTTAACAATATATCAAGATTGGAAATTTCTTTCTAGGAAATTAAAAAGTGTTTCTGTCGAAAATTTACAAGTAAGCTTCAATTTAAAAAACATTTATTAATATTTATAAAAAAAATAATTTCTTAAATTATGTAAATATTTTATTTTTACTATTTTTAAATTGTTTATTTAGTTTATTTTAATTCAATAATTATACATTGTATATAATTATATAATATAATCCTTGATATTTTTTAATTGAGATAAGTTATTATTAATTTACAAATAAATGAACACGAAAATAAATCTTTTACGTTTCAGCATAAAACTAATAGTGAAAATCAGAGAGCAACAAATTTTCCGAGTCAATATCAAATTTATGTAAATAAATTAGATGAAATTAAAAATGAAAAACACATAAAAAGATATAGAAGCATGCATATCGAATATGTAAATTTAGAAAATAATTTCGTACGCTTAATAAAAATTAAAACAACATCCATGGTTCCTCAATACCTAAAATTTATAATCAAAAGCATTAAACTGGATTACACAATTTTACGTCAAGCTTTTATTATTGTGTTCTGTGCTATCTACAGTACTTCTATTCTTAAAAGCAAAAGTCAACTTATTGGGTTAGTTTTTCTATATATTCATTTGTAAATATTTTAAAATGAGTAAAAAATTTGATAGTATTTTTTAAAATATTCTATAAATTTTTTTAAATATTATTTTCATATTACCTAAAAATGAATTTAACGTAATCTTTTGAAATTCACTGATTATACTTCGTATGTAAATAAGAATTTGCATTCTATTTAATATTACAATTTTTAAAATAATTTAATTAAATAAGTAATATATTAAATTATATTTTGGATGTATTTAATATTTATTAGTTATTTTATTATTCTTATGATTTCAGAAATCCTGGAAAATATACAAATAGTATATCTATTTTGTAAAATTTTATGAACAATACTGAAATTTATAATTATTAAAATATACTATTTTTCATTAAGTACACATTATGTTCATAAAGAAATTGAAAAAAAAACAGAATAAACACGAATAGACATCAAATCATAGAACATTAAATTTATGTTATTGTTTTAACTTTAGACAAGAGGTAGTAGTAGAATTAATGTTTCTAGCCATTGTGATCTTTCAAAATTTTATGATAAAATATATTAATATATGTAAAGTATATTTTGTGTGAATAAATAATAGTGAATCATATAAAAAGTTTTATTGTTTTATTATTCCCGTTAAATAGTTACAATTGCTTTAATAAAGATTATTACTAAAATTGATCAACAAAATTATAAAAAAGTATATGTAATTATAGCAATTATATTACATATATAAATTTTTAGTATACACCTTCGATAATTTAGGTGAGACACGATATGATATTTGCATACTCAATGTGCAATCGAGTATATTATTATAGTGCAAATGATGTTTCACAACACAAAACTTTGGGGTATATATATATATATATATATATATATATATATATATATATATTTTTTTTTTTTATCTATCTCGTTAATTCAACACGCTATTATAAGAGAGAGAGAGAGAGAGATAAATCCAATAACACTGAAGAGAAGAACCTTTATGTAATTATTCTATATTTTCTAATTATATTTTTAGAATATCTTTGATTTCTTAAAATTGTTGTCTTACATTTATTAGATATACAGATTAGTTATTTGACAAATGGTTTTACTTATTTTTCTACATGCTGATGAGTTCTAAGTTGAATAAGTTTGGACCTTATGCACTTTAGACTTTATGTTTATCCATGGTATCTGTGTTCGTAAAAATTTTAATTCTTAAAACAGCTTAGAAACCGCACATAAATTTCTAAATCTTTTCAGCTTATTTTACTATTGCTATGTATATAAATATAAATTAATTTCGATAAAACATCTACGGAATTTCTTAACTTCAATAAGTGTTAAATATTATAAAATAAAACAATATAATTATATTATACAATTAATGTATAAATTGATCTCAAGTATTTATGCAGTTTTTTATAAAGAAACACTATTGGCCTTCGCAAAAATATCATAATAAATAGAGGGAAAATTTTTCATTATATACATACGTACATTTATATACGCTGTATTCTAATGTTTGTATGCTAACAATACGTCTCTATGACAGTGTTTTATATACCAACCATCAAACAAGTTTAATCAGTATGATATTTATAAAATATATATGTATGATATAATGTATTAATTAAAATTATATAACTTATTCCTAAAGATCGAGTTAAAAATACATACAAAATGATATGTTATTTTTTGAAGTTATCAAACAAAGTCTGGTTTTATTATGGAAATATAGAATGTATTTAAAATTTTAAAAGACAATAATTTTGAGCTAAAATTATATATATTAATTTTTATTTTCAAATGTAATATTTTTAATTATGTTTAAAAATTATATTAAATATATAAATAATATGTAAAAATTGAACATTTTAAATTAGTAACTTTTAAAAAATAACTATTTTTAACCAAATATATTTTATATAAGTAACAAACTTCTGAAACGAATATATATTCCTAAATATGATATTTTATTAATTTTATTGTTTATTATTTATATTTTCATATATTTTATTTGTACGACACAATACTATGAACAGCATAGATTATAATTTCATCTTAATTCAAACTTACATAATCGATGAATTAAAACTCAAAAATAACAGTTAGTACACTTCGATCAATGTACTGACTAATAATTTGACGTAGTATAATACAATAAATAGAATGCAAATAGAAATTAAATAATTAAATATAAATTTAATTAAATATTTAAATTTAATTAAATTTAATTTTTAAAGCAATACATTTAATCAAAGTCTTAAATTTGTTATTAAAACACGATAGCATGCTTATGCATAATGATTTTATATAATTATTAAATCATTATTATATACTAATTAAATAATTATTCCACATTACCATAATACTCCAATTTCGATATTAATAACTTATTTTTAAAAATTTATAGTTTCAAGATTCCAGATTTAGTTTTATAAACATTTATCATTTTTATTTGAAATGAATGATGTAATAAATATTTAATCTTGGTGATAATTTGAAAAGTGAATATGATTAAAAAAATTTATTAAAATATAACCCTACTTGAAATTAGCACAAATAAAAAACAAAGTACAATTTCATAGGTTAAGAATAACACAGTTTTACAAGTAAAATGTTTTCTAAAGCATGTTCATGGTTTACAAGTATTTATTTTAAACGTATAAGTATCAATAATAAGTCATTTAGTAAATTTTCATCCAATGAACTCTTAATAAAAAAGAAAACGAAAACGACATTTAATTATATGGTAGCTATTGGAATTTTAACTATTGGCTTTACATATGCTTCTGTCCCTTTGTACAGAATTTTCTGTCAGGTAATATTCCAAAAATATTTATTCAATATATGATTATTTAGTATGATTCTTAAAAATACTAAAGAATTAAAAAATTATTACATTACTATTAAAAAATATAGATAATTTAGTAGAATATCAAAATTTTGTAAGAGATTATTGCTTCAACGAAATTTATAAATATTTATGCGTATTAAATTTAAATTGTTTTCTTTATTTTAATTATTGTAATTTAAAAATTTAAGAATAATATTTAATGATTATTTTTTATATTAGGAATTTAGTTATGGAGGTACCATAAGTCATAAAGAATCAAACATATCAGAGATGAAACAAAAGAAAAATAGAATTTTAAATGTAAAATTTAATGCTGATACTGCAGCACAAATGTCATGGCAGTTTCAGCCTCAACAAAATGAAGTAAAAGTAATGCCAGGAGAAACAGCTTTAGCATTTTATACAGCAACTAACCCCACAGATGTTCCAATAGTTGGAATTTCTACATACAATATTGTTCCTTTTGAAGCTGGGCAATATTTTAACAAAATCCAATGCTTCTGCTTTGAAGAACAATTTCTTGCTCCCCATGAAAATGTTTGTTAATCGTTATTTCAAATTAAAAGTCTGATAAAAATTAATGATTTAATATTTTTTATATAGGTTGATATGCCAGTTTTTTTTTTTTATTGATCCTGAATTTACTGAAGATCCTAAAATGGAGCATGTAAATGAACTTGTTCTTTCTTATACATTTTTTGAAGCAAAAGAAGGTATAAAGCTACCCATACCCAGCTATATTAAAAAAATACAATAATCGAAGGTAAAATAGTGAACTATTTCGTTACTTTCAAATTAATTGTAGTTTTTAATTTAATTGGAAAATGTTTAATTCATTTTTTAAAAAAATATATATAAGTTATTGTTAAGTAAAAAATTAATATTGAGCAAATGTATAAATTAAGTATATAAATTATTGAACATTGTAAATTGAATATAATTCTAATAATTTTCTTACCCTACATGATTTGTAAATGATAAATAATTAATGATATTTGAAATTAAACGATTACAATTTTTAAATAGTTTTATTTCTAGTTTTATGAGATTAAATAATATATTTCATTATATTTTTATAAAATTAAGAAAATCTTTTCATGAATAATTTAGCTACGCATTAATCTTACAAATTTAGCATAATATTTATTAGAAATAAATTAAATTTTGTATAATTAAACTTTCTAATAAAAAATAAAATAAAATATTCAGTTATTATAATCTAAATTTTTAAGAATATTAGTTATTATACTATTAAACATCTGTTAGTTATATATATGAAAGTTTCATATTCTAAATTGATGCTTTAAAAGTAATTTTCTACCTTTCCTATTTCTTGTACATGTATCATTAACTATTCAATTCATTGTTCAACTTTGATAAATCTATATGGACTAAATAAATAACAATCACCCCTTAAATATTAGATTATTATATAATCTTGAAAATAAACCTAATGATAATAATTTTTAAAATATAAATTTGTATTGTATTAATTAAATAGATATAAAATCTTATGAAGTTTTTTAAAAAGAAAATTAAGTATTTTAGTTCTATAATGTAGTAAGTAATTTGATTTCTGAAAACATTATAAACAATATTAACCAATAATAATATTTATTTTCTTAATGTTTTTAATTTTGAAAAATTTTTATTTTATTTAAAATTATTCTTTTATAAATGTGGAGTCAAAATTTGAATACATTTGATATAATAATGTTAAACATTTAAATATTCTTATTTAATTATAAAATTATTAATATTTATATTGATATTAAATAATATTAATTAGCTATGTTTATTCTTATAATTGAACACTTTATATTTAAAATGTATTGTTTATCAATGCCTAAATTTATAATACAAAATTCATACAAGTTCATCAATACATAATATACATAATATACATAATATACATAAAAACAACAATACAAGTTAATAAATATATAAATATTTTTTAAAGATTAATTTCATTCTAATCTGGGTTATGAAAAAATATTATCTTATTTTTTTCATCATAGCATTCATTAATATTCAATAGAATGTTAGAATAACTAGTAATTAAATTAGTCCTTTATTTGCTTGTATTCTGTAAGTTTTTCTATAAAAAGTGTTTACATTTTTTTAATTACGTGTTAATACTATATTCAAGGTCTAATTTACTTGTACAGTATCATTCTCATTCTGTCAGAGTAATAACAATTGAAGTTGGCTTCACTATTTAACTGGGTTTTACAACCATTCATTTCATAAAAATTTTGTACAAAAAATTATCTGATAATACTGCCGATTTTGAAGAAAAGTTTTTACTCAATTTAGAAATTTCAGTAGTTGGCTTCTCATTAAAAAATTGGTTAATTATAAAACTTAATATAGTTTTTGATAGTCTGTATTAAAAATATTTATTATAATACTATGTTGTTATTTTGAATACATGTCATTATTAAAAAAATTTTAATTTATTACACTATCTATAAAATTCAATACTAAAATAATTTCTTTAAATATATAATTATTGATTTAATTATTTTAAGAATTAAAACATTATTCAACTTGTAGAATAAAAGAACTTATAGAAGTATTGTAGAATAAAAAAGTAAAATAATTTCATAATATCTTGAATTCATGCAGAGAGATTTTATTTAATCAATAATAGCAAAGAAATCAATATTTCAGGACAATAACATACATCATATAAAATAGAAATATTAATAATTTTACAAAATTAAGAAATTTACAAAGAAATTAATTAAATATTTTCATTTTCTATATTTAAATTACAAACAAAATACTCATGTTAAAATAGTCATTTAATTGAAATAATTAGATTAAAAATTATAAATAATAATATATGATAAAATAAAAAAATTGTAAAGATATAGACAAAAATATATGTATATTTATAAAAAATACTGAAATTTTTTTTGAATTAATAAAAATTGGTTTAAAAAAAATATTTTAATTAAATATATAAATAAAAATACTTTCATAAAAGTAGATTATAAAGCAATTATATCTATGTTAATAAAGTAAGTTATTTTTAAAATTGTTTATAGCTAAATTAGTATTATGTAGGTTAATATTAATAGAAAATTTTACTAATTATTAGAATAATTTATTTTAAATTTAGTTTTATTAATACAATACTTTATACAAATTCAAGTTTTTAATTTAAAATTAATATTGGAATATGAAACGTACATTTTAATATATAATATTTAAATAATTTTTTTATGAAACCAGTATTCCAAATATGGCTGGTGTTCCACGAAATGCTCCAGAACGTCAGTATTTATAATATAAAGATTATATTAATAATTTTTGAAAAATAGAAATTATAATTAACTAAATTTTTTTTACAACTTATTTTATGATGTATTAAATTATAATATTTTGTTAAACGATTTGAAAGATTTTATTTTATGTTAAAATTTAATTACAGGTTAGAATTATTTGTTGAAAATAAAATTTATCAATCGGTTTTAGATTAATCCTAAATAAATTAATATTGTATGAATTATTATCTATTATTTTAATTGATATTAAATGTTTTTTTTGTTATAAAAATTATATCTGAATAAGTTATTGGAACATTTCATCTGATAAATTTCTGTAACCATTATCTTATTTCATAATTAATAAATATTGCAGTCACTTAAGTAGATGATGTTTTTAGTTTATATTTAATTATATAGATTGCCCTGGCATTCAAAGTAAAAATGCTGGTAAAGTATCAACTTGTGCAGGTTGCCCTAATCAATCTGTTTGTTCATTATCTTCAACAAAATTAGCAAATCCTGAAATTGTACTAGTGCACAAAAGATTATCTTTAGTAAAATATAAAATTATAATATTATCAGGCAAAGGTGGTGTTGGAAAGAGTACAATTACATCACTCATATCAAGAACAATTGCTTCAGAAAACGAAAACAAAAATGTAAATTTGTAATTTTATATCACTATATCTTTTTTTATAAAAGTAATTTCAATTATATTTTAAAAACTATTAAAATTAAAAATTAAATTTACATTATAATTTTAATGTTACATTGAAAGTTTTTATGATTCATAATTCTGTTTATAAACTTATATTTTATAGATTTTCATAAATTAAAGATCTTTTTTAATTGTATTTTATTATAGAAGTTTTATAAAAAATAGTCAACAGATTTTTTAAGTATTTTATCTGTCATCTATTATTTTCAATATCAGATATCATTTTTGAATAATTTATATTATAATTTTAGTATTTAATATTATGTAGCATAAGATATTTATGTAGCTCAAGTATTTGTTAATAGACTAATTGTATAAAATCGTATTTTTAATAAAAAAAAGAATAACGAATTATTAATTATGAAGAAACAAATGTTTTTTTATTAAATTAAAAATTAGAATGAAACTATAATATAATATAATATTTAGGAAGAAAATTGAATTACAAATTGTATAAAACTATATAAATATGAAATATGTTTCATTTTTTTAAACTTTTTTCTTTAAACAATAAATATACGATTTTCAAAATATGTGCCATTAATTTAAAGAATTAAGTGTAAAAAGTAAATTCACAAAATGAACTTATCTATATATTTGGCTTTTTTGTAGGTTGCAATTTTGGATATTGATATTTGTGGTCCATCACAACCAAGAGTTCTTGGAGCTCTTGGTGAGCAAGTACATCAAAGTGCATCAGGTTGGTCCCCAGTTGTAAGTATAAAATAAAAATTTATGTTATTCCATTATTTAATATATAATTAAATAAATATTTATTCTATAGTACATAGAAGATAATTTATCCTTGATGTCCATAGGATTTCTTTTAAATAATTCAAGTGATGCAATTATTTGGAGGGGACCTAAAAAAAATGGTATATTAAAGCTATTTTATATTTTTACAATTAAAAAAATGTAATTATGAATATATTAAATTTATTAAAAATATAAAGAAAATCATATTTATATAAATATTAATTGTTATAAAATATATATCTACAATATGTTATTAATTTGCTACATTACTATCATTTTCAAACAGTATTTAAATAGGAAACTTATCAAAGTTGAGATATATTTTTAATAATTATTGCAAAAATACATTACATATATTAAATTTCAGGAAATGAATGAGACAAAATAGTTTTATCTTTAATGAACTAAATTTCATAATTATTATGCAATAACATTTATGGCTTTATTAAAATATTGTGTATTATCAATAATTGTACTGTATATGCCAAATATCAAAAACTCAACAAAAACATGTAAACAAATAAAATACAAACCCTAAAAATTAAATGATCTTGAGCAAACTTTTAATTAATTATTAATTAACTATTTTGAAACTGAATTTGATATCTTAAAAATAATATCTAGTAGTGTAATATCATGGACATAACATATTTTTAAAATAATTATGTTTAAAATAGATTGAACATTTATAATTTGAAAGCTTAAAGTGATATGAAGTATATATTTAATTGGTCTAGTGAATAGGCATTTGTTTTTAATAAATGGTTTTCAATCGTAAAAAGAAAAATCAATAATTAAAGAAACTTTTTATAAATAATTACAATGTAAGCTGAATAAATAAAAATTATAATTATTAAAATTTTAATTTATTGATAATGTTCAATTGTTTATAATGTACAAATTTATCAAAAATTAAATATTGAATTATAATCTTTTTCAATAAAGTAGTTAAAATATTTTCATTTTTTTACTTTATCAATAAAGATTAATAAGTTATTAGTAATGTTCTATATGATATATTTTATTTATTTAAAATATTTATTATTACCTATAATTATATTATTCATTTATGCAGAGATTCCCTGTTTACTAATCTTATCTTATTACAAATTAGTAGTAGTTAATAATTTCTCTTTTAAGGGTTTTGTGGTAAACACTGCTTAGATCACGGATTGATATACAGTAGATATTTCCTAATTTTTACAGAATAACATTTAATTATATTTCAATGATAAAAATGACTAAAAACTCAGTGTGATAATCGTATTATTATTAATATTGATTTAACGTTTGCTAAATTAAGGATAACAGTAGATTGACGAATGTAACAAACAAAATTATCAAAATTAAATTTTCAGATTCCCTTTAGAAAATCGTAAAATACCATAAAATACTCTTAATAATCATTAAAAAATTTCTACTTATACTAATAAACTAAAAGATTTTTTATTGTATTTAATGCAAATTTGTATATAATATTTAATGGAGTACATAAACTATGTGTGGAAACTTAGTTTTTAAAATGTCAATTCATGAAATACGAATAGTACAAAAGTACACGGATTATGTTTTAATTTTAATAATAATGATCGAAACAAATATCATATAGAAAATACATGAAATTCTAATAGCAATGAAAATAATATCAATTCATAAGTATCATTAAAAATAGTAAAGAACAAATTTCCGTGTGTGTTACAAATATTATTACTGGAATGGTCGATACTCTCAATATATATAATATATATTATTCCCACAAAAAAATTAAACGAAATTAAAACAAATGAACCATTTATTATTCAACCATTCGAACCTTCTATATACAAAAATATATTCTAAGATAATAAATTTTATCACAGATTTAAACTTTCTTATGATTATAACAAGCATGTATGATAACTTGTTAAATCAATTTATTATGAAAACGAAAATAAATAGTTTGTGAAATAAAAATTTCAATTTTATCTCACTGTTATTCTCAAGATTTTATATATCTTTTGAAATTAATGTTTTAATTGAAATGTAATTATATTCTAAATTAATGTATTAGAATTAAGAATTAATAAACAAGGTTGAACATTTACAAAATAAAATTTTAATGTATAATTTTCAGAAAATCAAAATTTAAATCAAATCGATTGAATTTGAAAATATGATTTCAAGAACTTTTAATAAAAAGCTGTTTGAAAATTAAACAGAAGCCTTTATAAAAACATGAAGACATTGAACAAATATTTTGAAATTGAATTTACCATTTTAAAAAGTTTTTATTGACAAATGAATAATATTAAGTGTATTAAAGAATAAATAAACGTAGGATATACAAAAGTAAAATAAAATATATGATAAAGTAATACCAAATATGATTTATAATTAGTTTTTAAAACATTTGTATCAATTTAATATATTGAATACTATTCAGGATTACAGCAATTTTCAAGACCTTTGGATCTCGGAATTTTATAAGCCTTCTATCTATCGAATTTTTGTAAACATTTGATTCCGAGAATTCTCGAATATTCTAAAGTTTTGGTTTCGAACGCCCTACAATGTTTATGTGGTCTCTGCATAGCAACGTCGGTTGAAATACTCCTACCTTCAGAGGCTTCGGTTTCCTGCAGTTCTCGAAACTTCTAAGGATATATTCTCGAACGTCCGCACGTTAGTCTAGTCTCTGCATAGCAACATTTTTTCATTGTGCTCATCTACCTAAATTATCGCGTAGATATATAAAGTAAGCACACGACGAGTCTCGCTCTCTCTTAGTGAAGACGCCATGGCACGGAATACGGTCTGCTTTAGCAGAATCGCTATGGAACAGTCGCTATCTCTCAGCAAACCCGCCACGGAATGAACGCGCCTTCAACTTCGTGTGCGTATTCAAAAAGGCTTGTAGTTGCTCATTGTAATTAACTCATTTAACTAATGTTACTGCTATAAGATTGTCAATCAGTTACGCTAACTGTCTGGGATCAGACTAAAAGCCTCCCTGTGATGGTGGATGGAGGCTTGCTGGCAAGTGGAAGGGACAATGCAATAATTCAACACTGCCTTTGAATGTAGTGTTTTTCCCTTTATTGAATATAATAAATATAATAAATAGTCAATGGTCTATGGATGTCGAATTGAATGTATGATACAATGAATAGATGAGAGTTTCTTTAATTAATATGAGCGACAAGAATCCTGTAAGTGTATTCTTGGTAGCTTGGTGCTTGGTTCTCCTACTCGTAGTTATGATCTAGTGGTGGTGGTGGGAGACTCGCGCTGATAAGAGGTAGCGCTGATGCCGCCGTTGCCGCTGGCGAGAAGAGCTGTAGCGGCCTGAGTGGGGGGTGCCTGTGTGACGTCACTGATACGGAGGCAGCGTGGATCTGCCGTTGCCGCTAGCGTGATGCACGCTGTAGCGGTCTAATGGAGGAAGGATATCCGTGTCACGTCACTGCTTGACGGGTAGGAGCATTCCTCGTACCGAACACCACGTATTAGTATTGCTGCTTACTTAGTTGGTGGGAGCCGTGTATTAGTGATCCGTAAGAACGTGTGTAATAGCGAAGCTTACGTGTGTGGAGTCGATCTCAGTTGCATTGATGGTACGTAAGAATGTGTGTTGAGGTCGATCTCTGTAGTTGCGTTGGTAGGCCGAATGAGCTTGGCTTCCGTTGAACTGTAGTCGATCTCTGCACCGTTGGTCGGCCGAGTGAGTTTGGCTTCCGTTGGGCTGGAGTCGATCTGTGCAGTGTTGGGTGGCCGAAACTAGCTTGGCGTACGTTGAGCTGGGTTCGATCTGTAGGACGGCGATCCGATCTTGATGAATGCTTGATTGAACTAGTAAGAGAGCGAGCGCGTCAAGCGCGTCTCCTTAAATATTCTAGCACAGGCTTGCGATTTCGGTGAATTCTGGATCACTCTTCTCATGCTGATTGTTAGAGTGACGTCACTAGAATCTAGCCTTGGAGAGTTCGTCGGCCCTTGTTAGTCGGAATTGTAATGTAATATTAGACTAATTTGAGTAGTGAGGTTTCCCGATTTCGTAGAATTGTGTTTATGACTCGACGCGCAAATGTTTCTACCTAAGCACAGGTATCTTTACCTCTCCGACTTTGTTTACCGCGTAAAATTGCTGTAATCCGTAACACTAACGCAGTGAAGCCATTACAAATAATACACGTTCAATTATCAAGTGCGCTACAATTTTCAAGCAGTCAAGGGTGCTGATTGTATTATAGAAGCACGGTATCAGGGTATTCCTCATCACAAAGATGTGCCAGAAGTCTTGTTTCCAAATAACTATTTATCACAGGATCAGGCAAGGCAACTGCATCGCTGTGAGTAACAATAGCCACTCATACGGAAGTAACACAAAGCCGTCTCGGGCCTTTCCAGTAGTGCGCCTAGCACAAAGCCTTCTCAGGCTCATCCATTATTGAGGAGACCACAGCAAGTTACCATCACGTGGCACTGCACGAAGAAGTGTTAAGCAATTTACGACCTCATACTTCTCAGTGTAATAATTTACCACCAAGCACACTACGTCAACAGGATCCAGAGATTTACAACTTTCTACCTCTGCATGTAGTGCATGCTAACGCCACGTGGCAACCACGACGGAACTGCAAGATCTCAAGGATTGTCATCACCAACTTAGAATCATTATTGTGTAGTTTGTAAAGTAAAACGCAATAAACATCACGAAAAGCAAATGTGTTAAATATTGAATTAATGCGTTACCTCTTCCACTTGCCCGCACTTTTTACCCACTAAGCAACTGGTGGGCATAGACTAATTCTAAACAAATACATTTGTTAATTTTGTTTCATATCAAGTTTATTTATCACTGATAATTCAAATTTGAAAACAATGATACAAAATTATCATTAAATGTATTTTAATTTTATAAAATATTGTTTATCAAAATGTTAAATTTATACTCTTTCATTTTATTTTTTTATAAAGTAGAATATTATATTTTTAAACCTTAAAATAAGAAACCTTATATTTTATTTTTTAATTTTTATTTTATATTTTATTTTTTATTTAATTTTATTATATAAATCTTGGACAAACATTTATAATTTAATAATAGCTTTAACATTTTTATTTAGTCCATTGTATTTAAAAAATCATGAAAACTCTATTTTGGAAGTGAATAAAAAATAAAATCGTAAATAATTTGTTCATATTTAATATTTTTCACATTAATTCCAGGCATAATAAAGCAATTCTTATCAGAAGTTGATTGGGGTTCGTTGGACTATTTAATATTAGATACACCACCAGGAACTTCCGATGAACATATGTCAGCAGCAACATATTTGAAAGAAGCAGATATAACTGGTGCAATAATTGTTACAACTCCACAAGAAGTTGCACTTATTGATGTTAGAAAGGAAATAGACTTTTGTAAAAAAGTTAATATCCCTATTCTTGGTTTAATAGAAAATATGAATATCTTCATCTGTCCAAAATGCAAGGTATAAAAATAGATTAAAATATTTAAATTTTTTAATATATGTAAATTTAGATACCAATTTATTAATTAAAATTTCATATTTATAATTAATATTTGTTCAATAATTAAATTATTACTGAAATAATATCTTTTAACAACAGAATTCTGCAGAAATATTTCCAGCATTAACAGGAGGCGCCAAACAAATGTCAGAAGATTTAAATGTTGAACTTTTGGGATGTTTACCTTTAGATCCATTATTAGCAAGATGCTGTGATGAAGGAAAAAATGCATTAATTGAAATTCCAAATTCGCCAGCAATATTAATTTTAAAAACGATAGTTCAAAGTAATAACTTTCAACTATATATTTTCCTATTTTCTGTATCAAGTCTGTATAAGTTTAATAATATAAATTATTTTTTATAGAAATTATCAAAAAATGTGATGGAACTCAGAAAACTAATTAAATACAATAAAATAAAATATATGAATTTTTTTCAATAAATATGGTTATTTTAATATTAATTCAACATTAATTATTTCATAAAAATGTATGTATTTTATATATATTAATATAAAAATTATTTTAATTTAAAAAAAAAAATTAATTTATGTAAGTGATGTTATGTATAGAATTACATATGGAGAATTACAAATTATCGATAATTCATTTTCTCACAATTAAAAAAAAATTTACTAGAAAGAAAATAATTTTATCCTGCTTGTAAAAGCAAAAATAATGTTGCAGAATATGTATATGACTATCATATGTGCAATACAAAACAAATGCATATAAAATATTGATTGATTCTGTCTAATTTACTTTAAATTAGTGAATTTCTAATATATATAACGATTATGCTGTACAATTTGGCTCTTCTTTTATGATTTTATAAAATATATTGGTTTAATAGTATATCATATATTTCTTACTTATACCAAACTCCTTCATTTATTAATAATATTTTTCTTATTGATCACATTTACACTTTAATAAATGAATTTGAATAATTTAGATTAAGATGAAGTTTAATTTCATTGTGTCAATAGTTTAAATAAAGATAGGTTCACATTTTTTTACTAGAGAATATGTAAATAATTAAATTCTCAATTTCTTGGAAACATATATGAGAACTTCTTTCAATACTATTAAAAACTGCAATATACGTAATGATTTACAATAAATAAATACAACTTATAGTTTTGAAAAATCAATGCAATAAATTCTATGAACTTGAGTATTTTAAATCAAATGTATATCTATAAATTAAAAATATCAATATTTTAGAAGATATTTGTTAATCATAGATACGATTTAGGCTTCTTTAACTTTTTCAGAATGTTTAGTGGTATTTTTTGTTTTCTATTAATTTCACAGTAAAATTATATCAAGAATATTTCTAAACTAACCATGAACCTTCAGTGTATTTATGCATACACAAAGTTTTAAAATATAAAATACATTTGCTGTCACAATATTATTTAAAATTGATCTTGTCAGCTGAAAAAAATTTAAGGAACTATTGGGTATACCATCTGTATGGAAATGGCTTACAGTTATTAAATAAGTTGTTAAGTAATGCATAGTCAATCTCGCATGTTTGTTATATATAAAGGAATACAAATTTAATTGTTTACTTCCTTGCCTGACTGTTCTAACAATAAAATACATTATCAATTACATTAGAATTTATTATTATAATTTAATATTAGTAGAAATATATTAGAAATTGCACATTTTAAATATCAATAAATGACAAATGATTTTTTGTTCATTAGTCTAAATCTAAAAATAAATATCTCTACTCTAATAATCCGTTAACATCATACGGTTTGTTTCCTTAGCAAACATTAACAAAGTTTACCGACCAATACTATGAATATTCGCTTTATAGTGTATTAAATGCATACGATATTCATATAGCACGCATATTTTGGTAAAAGAATTATAAAAGATATTACAGTCGCTATTTGATTATCAGAGTATTACATGAAGAAATCAATTTTCCTATCAAAGCGGACATCTTGTAAAATGTATATATTAATGACTTTTCGAAACTTGTGATACTTCTAATAAAATATATAAAATACAAATACCTTTATAGTTTGTGGACACATCTTTTCAACTAATTTCACTTTTGAGGAGTTTGCACATAGAAATTAATAAGGTGTTTAAATCGAAATCTTACAAGTTTGGGAGTTGTTCTATCATCTAAAATTACTTTTCATGCATTGCATTAAATGAAGAAATTAGCTCAGTTTTATTTGAAATGACGGATAAATAAAGATCATAATAATAACTGTTACCCATAATGAGACTATATTAGATATTTTCAAACTAAGGCCAGTCTCTTTCAAAAACTTTAGAAAGAAAATTACTGTAGCATTAAGTAGACATACAGTGGTTCTTCATCCCTTTGAGAATGTCATATTTTGATAGATTTTGAGATAATTTGTTAAATAATAGCTATTCAACTGTGTAATACATTTAAAAAATAATAAATTTTAGATTTTCTTTTACTTATTAGTTTTATTAATAAAAGAAATATTTTACAATTAATACGTGCTTACATCGTATCTATATACATAATCGTATTAACATTTCAGAAGATAAAAATATTGCTTAAAATTATTGAGATGCAACTGAATTTAAAATAATCAAGTTTTGGCTAGTTAAAATCTAAAGAAAATCATTGCTGTAACATTAACAAACCTAGATAAAACTTTACATGCAATGAAAATCCGTGGAGTCTTTAGACTTACCAGTTTTATCCAAGCTAGTTGACGTTAATGAGTTTCAGTTCCTTTCAAACTCGCTGGCTTGTAATTATATAAATATATTGTAATAAACACGATCTTATTAAAATAATTATTCTAAAGTTTTAAGTTTTAAAATATTTAATTTTGCAAAATTTTCAAAAAATTATGTATAAGTAAATTCTATTAAAAAATCATTGCATGTAAAACATAAAATCTTTTTAATTTAAATTAAATTTATATGTTGATAATATTAAACGAAAATTATTCAAAATATTTTATTCTTTTAATATTGTATTTATGTTTTATTCCATTTATATTATTTAAATATTATTAAACATTGAAAGTGAAACATTAAGTTTTATTGTTTTAGAAATTTTCATATTATTCTATATACTGTATGAACTTAAAAAACAAAATATTTTTATTTAAAAAGCACTTTGCTTTGTATTGTATTAAATGTTTTTTATAATTAATGTGGCGCTTAATTACATTTACTTATATTTTATGCTCTTACAAGGACCAATGAGATTAAAGCTATTGCGCAGGCGGAGGTGAAAATTCAATTTAATATTGGCCATAATATGTAACAATATTTCTGGCGGGATTGCTAAAAACTATTCGTCAAAAGTGAATCGATGTCTTTACTGATTAAGTTGTGTATGAATTTAAAAAATATTCTTACAAGATTATATCCAATAATAGTTTCAATTTAAATGTTATTTTATAACTAAATATTGTTATTATTAACAATTTAGTTTTTAAAGCTACAATATAAGTGTGAATAATGAGCGATACAAAAGATTATGAAGCATTTAGAGAAAGGAATATTGCAGAACGAAATGCATTTGTAAGATATTGTTGTTTTTTAGAAAACAATTTTGAATCTGTTCATAAATTAATTTATTTAAAATACTACATCAAATACAAATTATGTACTTTAAATAATGATCTAATTTTACCTTATTTTCATCCATTGTATTATAACAAAATGTAGAATAATTTTATTTTACAGTTAAAAGAATTTTTAAAAGAAATTAAAGAAGATACTGCAGAAATAAATAGATTAGAAAGTAGCAGATTAAATTTTACACGTAAAAAAAATAGATGTTCAAAAATTTTGAGGTTCACAACTAAAAAATACCACTCTGATGCCAGTAAATCAAAAACATATCCTGATCAATGTGTTGACCTATCTTTTCGTAAAAAATATAACACTAGAAGTAAAAAACGGAAGCTTGAAGAATCAAATGATAATAATGATGATAATGATAATGAGGATATTATAGTTCCAAAAAAAGGCTCTAATCTAAAAGTTATGTTTTCTTGGTCTAGGCCTATCCAAAGAGATATTGATTTAATGAGATTTGACTTCAGTGAAGACGAAAGTGAAGGTACAAATACTGATGTAGAAGATTATATACATAAAAAAAAGAAGATTCACAGAATATCAAAAGTTATTGATCAGTCAATTAAAATTCCTTCATTAGAAGAAATTACTAAAGAAATGTTAAATAATATAGCAGTTAAAGCAAGTGGAAAAAACTATGATGCAATAAATGGTACATCTTGTCATCAATGTCGACAAAAAACAATAGATACTAAAACATTTTGTAGATCAGGCAAATGTATTGGAGTTAGAGGACAGTTTTGTGGACCTTGTTTAATGGGAAGATATGGAGAATCAGCACTAAATGCCTTACAAGATCCTGTAAGTCTTTATTGTAGTATAATGGTATAATTTGAATTAATAATTCTTGATATAAATATATTTTTAATTGATATTTTATTAATAAATATTCGTTCAATATATTAACCGTTATAGATATTATAAATATAAATGAATCTGATTAAGCTAATATAATATAAAAAATTATATTTATATAAATTTACAAAAGCTTAATAATCTATTATTATTTATAATTTTGAATAATTTACTCAATTCTTTTGTTTTTACTATAATTAATAAAAAAATTTGATCACTAAATTTAAATAGTTTTTATTTCTTTTCATTTTAAAGAACTGGGTGTGTCCACCATGTCGAAATTTGTGCAATTGTAGCATTTGCAGAACAAGAAAAGGTCAAAGACCAACTGGAATATTAGCACCACTTGCAAGAGAGGAAGGATATGATTCAGTAAAAGATTATTTACAAGCTTTGGATTGTAAAAAATAAACCATAGCATAAATATCTTTAAAAATTATGATTTTATATATATATATAAATATGAATTTTTAAAAAAGGGACAAATCAATTCTATTGTACATAATTTTAATGTTAAAATTCAATAAATAATTTAGTACTTTAATAAATTAAAACTTTTTTTTAACTTAATAGTACATTTCATAATCTGGTACAAAATATTAAAACTCCAAATATTATGATAATAAAACATTTGGTAAATTTTTTTTAATAAAAGAGATTTAAATAATTTAAATATATATATAACAGTTATTCTTGTTATATTTAGAAATATTTTTATTAATTACACTTAAAATAACTGATATCTCATTGCTTTTTTTAAGATTTAATTTAATACCTGTCTATATATTTTATGATTAATATTCTAAATTATGAAATGCTTAAATGTTCTTTACATTACTATTGCTATTATTTAATATCTATTGCTAATCAATATTCTCTATACATAATATGGAATTATTTATTAAATTACGGGGCATTTTCATAAAAACGTTTTTATAATTACATTGATTTTTTATTTACTTTTTTCCAATACAATGTGCAAACGACTATGTGTATTAATATTTATGTTTTATATCTGACATAATGGTTACATAAATATTTGTAAATAAATATCTGAATATTACTTTAGCAACTTCTATATTTATATTGCCTTGCATTTCTTTTAACTTATATTTTGAATAATAGATGATCAAATTTGAATTAGATATAACAAAATAAAATCTTTTAATTATTATTATTGCTTTTATAAATTTCTGTAGATATGTTAATTATAGTATAAAAACTATTTTTTAAATTAATGTTATAATTCTTATAGTAGATTAATATTTCAAATTTTTAATAAATAATCATGTATTAAATTGCTTACATTATACAATTTTGTATATTTTAATATTTTTTCTTAAGCTAGTACATTTATTTGTAAATAAAAATACTTCATTTTCGATTTAAAGAATTTTGTATTACTTTGTATATAGCAATATTATAAACAAATTTTATTGATACCAAATAATTTTTAATTGAAATATAATTATTTACTAGAAGGTTTTGTATTTAACATTTATTTTAATTTTAATTGACATTTTGCAATATTAAAATTTCTTTTAATATATTCCAGTTATTTTATACCATCTATTTTCACATTGATGTAAACTATAACAAAATTTGCTAATTAGAACTATAAAATACCAATATTTATAACACTTTTATTTTATTGTTTATTAATTCAATTTTTGATAAACCCACTTTCATTGCATTTAATAATCAATGCCAATATTTTAACTATTTGAAGATAGTAGTTTATCATACTATTAATTGAATACATTTATAAATTTACTTTAAATCGTAAATATTTAATACTATAATAATTATTGTATTTATAACATATCATAAACTGACAAAAATGAATTTTGTATGTGCTCCATAAATACAAGTTCAAAATAACTTACAGTATGCTATCCCCTACGCCTAAATTTATTAGCATATATAAAATGATAAAATATATTTATAATTATAACAAATTTTGTTATTTACGTCTGTATTAAAAATTGTTTCTCATTATCAATAGTGGCAACATTCTATATTTATTTAAATTTTAAATGTAATCAATGAATTTTTAATTCTCTGCTAAATACACAAAAAATACAATTAGTATGCAACTGGGGAAATAATTAATTAGTTAGCGTTCATTATTTATGTGTAGAAGGACAGTTTTATATTTATTTTTTATTACATCTTCTATAAATGTACCACGCCATTATCTTATTTTTGTCCATTAAGTCTTTTTTAAAATATATAAAATTTTTAGAACAAAAATCTTTTTGTAATAAAAATTATTCAAAAAAAAAAATGTAAATCGTGTTGTAAATTTGTTAAATTGATAGAATTAAAATGAATTCTTAAATTATTTATGTATAATCTTTAAAATATTACGCCTTAAAAATAAAACATTCTCGTTTTATAACGAAATTTTGTAAATAATTTTTTGTTATTAGTATTTTTTCTAAAATTAGTTTTTCGAATAAAATAAATATTTATTGATTAAAATTCATACATAATAAATGAATTAGTTTCATTATAATAGATTTCCAGAAAAAATATGATAATTATGAATTTTTTATTTTTATATATATTAAATAATTGTATTTAATTTTGCTTAACGTTGAAGCCAAGATCATAACTAAGAATCTAGAATAAATAAAAACATATTAATGTGTTATCTCTATATTTTTATTTACATTGTAACTTTTATTATTCATTATATAAAGTAACAGCTACATATAGGACTATGAGACAATTTCTGGTAATACATTATGAAAAAATTTATTCATTTTATTTAAATAGTCGTTAAATTTTTGCTATCAAAATTAACTTCTATATTGAAAGTTACATAATTTTGTTATTAATCGTTCATGCAACGTAAAATATTTATCCGTAGACGTTTAATGAGGGTTGAATTTTTGTTTAACATACAAATTTGTAAATATTTTATAAATTTTTCAACGAAGTACAAATTTTGCTTCTAATACAATTTTCATAATTAGAATGAATTAAATTAAATTGAATTGAATTAAATTAATAAATAGATTATAAAATATCTATATTAGAGATTTACAATCAAACAACTTTAAATTTTTTGAATGACATTTTCAAAATTGGAGCACTTTCCAATACCTTTGGCTCTCGGAATTTTATAATCTTTGTAACCCTCGAATTTTTGTCAACATTTGATTCGGAGAAGTCTCGAACATTCTAAGGCTTTACTCTCGAATATCCCTGCAATATTTTTCGCATTGCAATACCTGTCCATTGTTGCCAGCTAACTAAACTGTCACGTGAATATATAAAGCAAGCACGCAACGAGTCGCTCTGTCTTTTAGTTAAAACGCCATGGCATGGAACATGGTCTGTCATAGCAGGTCCACCATTGAACAGTCGCTACCTCTCAGCAGAGCCGCCGTGGAATGAACATGTGTGCGTATTCAGTGGCTTGTAGTTATTCAGCTAGTACGACCGGTCAGTTAGTCAGCCAGAGTCTAAAGCCATAAGCAACTCACTCAGTTATACTCTCTCAGCAGACCCGCTACAGAAGGAACACGCAACAGTTGCATACTAAGTAGAATCCCATACACAGTGCCCAGAGCAGGAAGCCGTTGCAGACCTTTCTCATACTAAGTGCAATCGCACACACACTCAGCAGTGCCGCTACGGAAGGTACCAGTAACAGTTTCATACTAAATAGAATCTCATACACCTCAGGTCTTTTTCAAGTATCCAGTGCCCTAGTGCACTTTTTCAAAGAGGAGACCATAATTAGGTGACCACCACGTGACAGTACACGAAGAAGAATCCAGTGATTTACGATGATCTCACATTTCTCTGTGTAAACATCCACCACCAAACACATAACGTTAAGAGGTTCCGGAGATTTAAGACCTCTAATGCAGCGTATACTACCACCACGTGGAAACCACCCAGTAACGGCAAGATCTCAACGATTCTCATCATCATTATAGTGTAATTGCAAACTCAACACAATGAACGGGACGCAAAACAGATCTGTTAAATACTGAATAGAGGCGCTACCCTTTCCATTTACCCACACTTTTCTCCCACCAGTACACTGGTGGCTATAGTCTAATTCTAAACAGACATTAATAAGAAACAAATTAAATTAAAAATGTGGTCAAAAGGAGAAAATTAAAACGCTTTTATTTACATCTTTTCATATAATTAATAAATTAATAACTGGGCGAAGGGATAAATATCCTTCATGATTTATTTTTGATACACACTTACACTTCAAAGATGTTATTTATTTATCCATTTTTTAAGATTATCGACGGACTCTATTCAAATAATTGAGATATTTCCATTCGAACGTATACGAAATGGAGGCCAATTATTATAGCAGAACGATATTGCAACATAGTCATAATTATTAGCTATTGGGAATGATTGCAGAATATATGAGATCAACAAAAAATAATTAGAAATAATATCTTCCTTTTGGATGTTATTATTTTTCGTATGCTGAAATAACTGCTTGAAAAATTATTTATATTAAAAATAATAGTTTCCATAATATCCAAATGAAACATTTAAAAATCATATAAAAATGAATAATAAATTAATTAGCTAAATTTGTGTCTTTATATAAATATTATATTTATTTTCTATTAATTAGATTATACAACTAACCTTGCATTTACATAAAATGAAAAGTATTAAAGGTTTCCTTTTTATATAATAAACATATATCATTAGCCACTTGCTAAATATACAAAGTGAAAATCAGGTATCTGTTGATCTTCAATATAAAATTTATTAAACGTGACTTCTAGTCATCCGGTGGGCGAAGGATCAAGATGATTGGATTAGACCATGTCTAGGAAAAAGTGTGATTAAATGCAGAAGTTAACGCTTCAATTCAGTATTCAACACAATTGCTTTTCGTGCTGTTTATAATGTTGGTTGTTACAACTACACAATTTTATTCTACGTTGATGATGAGAGTCGTTAAGATCTAACCGTTCCTTGGTGGTTTCCACATGGTGATAGCATGCACTAGATGTAGAGGTCGTAAATCTCTGGATCCTCTTGATGCAGTGCGCTTGGTGGTGGGTTACTACACTGAAAAGTGAGAGCTCGTAAATCTCTGTAAGTTCTTAATATAGTGACACGTAGTGGTGTCTTGATTACGAGTTTCCTCTTAATGAGTGAAAGGATGAAACAGTGGTTCAATACCTCAATATGCCTTGGTAGTGAGTGCTATGGGAATGATCTTGATGCAGAGTAAAGTACAGAATGCAACGGCGGCTTGATACAGAGTGAAATACAGAATGTAGTGGTGTCTTGATATAGAATTTAATTGTTCCCTCCAAGGTGGCTCAAGTAAGTAAGTGTGCTTCGACGCGTGCTTGCTTTAAATATCCGAGCGAGTTTGATTATCTGGCAACAATGGATAGGTGCTGCCATACGAAAATTTTTACAGGACTTCGAGACTAAAGCTTTAGAAGATTCGGGAGTTCTAGGAAAGTAAGTTTAAAAGGTTAGAGAATTCCAATCGACGTTGGTATGTAGAGACTAGATACACATTATAGGACGTTCGAAAGCAAAGGCTTTAGAATGATCTAGAATTTTTTTAATAAAATGTTTACGATTTCGAGAGCTAGAAAGATTATAAACTTTCGAGAACCAAAGTTCTTGGAAAGTGCTTCTATCCTGAACAGTGACAAATTACAAATAACTTAAAATAAAACAAAATAAATTTCTCTCACTAGTTTATGCTAAACAGAAAATTACATGTAAATACTTCTATTTAGTTTATTTTTCTATCTTTATTTATGACTGATAGTACATCTTTATCTATGTTAAGACCATTTACTTTTAGCCCTCCTAATATTCGATGGTGTATTAGCCAATTTAATTATGGAAAACTAAGCAATGTTAAATTAATAAATATCGATAAATTAATGGACCATATTAAATTTAAATGTAATACCATAAGCTTATAAATAAATTGTCTAGATAAATAAAATAGTTAAGAAACATAAAGCGTTGTTATCATTTATTATATTTGTTACTAAAAATTACTAATATATGTTTTAATTGCATTGATATAACTTGCAAAGTGACTGTAATGCTGATTTTAGTTCAATATACATGAAAACAGTTATTTGATAAAAAGAATTTAATTGTATATATTGAGGTATGAAATTTGAATACATTTAGTATAATTAAGTAAAATAACGTATTTATATACATGTGTTCCATATAATTATGAATGCAAATACATGTTTATGGGATGAGTCAAAATATTACAATGTTCTTTATTAAGAGATAAATTAAAATATTCAGAATATGTATAATTGGAATGAAGATTTAAATGTGTTTATTATGTAGTTAGTTATTATGTAGATAAAGACTACGGAGTACGTTTTTAATGTACATGAAACGTAGAAAACAAATCAAAATAATACCAAGAGCAAATTTTCATACGGGTCAATAAATCAGCTCAGGATAATAAATATATCTAAATAATATTAATTTTGTACAATATTACTTTTTGACACTCATAGTTAAAGAAAATATTTTTAGAATTTAATATATTTCTATCAATATGACAGTAAATGTTATATTCACACTTGCATGCATAAATATATATATGCATATATATGCATACGTTCCTAGGCATTACACATTTGTGAAACAAAATTTAGAAAATATAATTAAGTTTTTTTTTATTAATAAAAATAATTAAATATTCCTATTTGCTCTAATAATAAAGGCTTGTTTTTTATAAATGTCAATCATATTTGTTTTATTATAGAAGTTAGTTTTTCCCCTATTTTATATTTTCTTTAGGTGGTATTAAATATTATAACGAGAATTTGTTATAATATTTATTTCAATATATGCGTTGATTTAAAAATATGAGAGCTCCACATGTTCTTTGTTAATATTAAAAATATTAATTAATTTTATTCTTTTATAGTAGGTGTAACTAGAAGTTGAATAAACAAAACGAAAGGTGACTGCTATATTCATGAAGTTTAACAGGATTTGATAGATCTCATAGATAATTGCATTATTGAATGAATAATTTTATTACGGTAAATTCGCTTACTCCTATCCCCAAAGAATAAGTTAAAAAATATATTTATTATTTAAAATGAATTTGACTTTTTTTTACAAAAAATCAGATAGTAATAAAAATTTAGCTTTTTATTTTTTTATGTATATTTGTCATATGCAGACTTCTATTTATTTATTTGAAAATAGTGCTATGCCTTTAGTAAAATTCAATCCTTATTTTATAATTTAATCGAAATAATTAAGAATAAAAATAATTTAAATATGTAATAAAATAAAAAAAATATTTTGTATATTATAATAATATTTATATATTTTTTAATTCAATATATATGCATTAGTAATACATTTGAATACTAATAGTAAATATTTGAAAAAGTTGAATATCATATGTTTTTAAAACTCAATTTATTTTTTAATAGACATCATTTTCTGTAGTTTCCTGTACATGTATGTATGTATTATTTTCTACTGTTTTATTTGTTAATTACATACTTTTTCCAAAGTGACTTAGATTTAATATTTTACATTCTTAAAAATAATGAAAATAATATTTTGAAGTTTAAATTAAGATTCAATTCAACAAAATCTACTTATTTATTATAATTTTTATGTTATATTTATAAGCTGTATAATCAATATTACAAATGAAAATAATTGATTTCTTTCATATATATATACAGAATACAATCTTCATAAAGTTCTATTTAAATAATCAAATTTTAAATATCTATAATGTCTAATCAACAAACATCACCGTCAAAAGGAATAAAAGAACTTAGGTTACCCATATCTAGAGTGAAGACGATAATGAAAAGTTCTCCTCAAGTTGAAGCTATTGGTCAAGATTGCTTATTTTTAGTAGCAAAGGCAACAGTAAGATAATTTTATATATGATGTTAAAATATTTAATGATTATATTATAAATAATATTTAGATGTTAATGAAATTTTAGGAATTATTTGTACATTATTTATCAGAAGAATCTCATCAAAAATCTAATAAAGCTGGGAATTTAGAGTATAAGCATTTAGCAGAAGTAGTTCAAACAAATGAGACATTGGAATTTTTGCGAGAAATAATGCCAAGGAAAATAACAGTTAGGCAATTCAAGGAAATGATTGATGACAAAAATTCTGAAAGTTCATCAGATTCTGATACTGACAGCCAATCAGATAGTGATTCTAATTCTGATAGTGATGATAAAGTTGAAAATTCATCTGATAGTAGTCACAATGATAATGATAAAAAGAATGGAAATAATTCTTTGGAAGATAGTAGTAAAGACGAAAGTGAAGAAGAAACTAAGCCATAATTATATTTTAATAAAACTATTTTAAATATGCCAATTCATTAATTTTAAATTTGGCACAAACTAAAATTAGAATTGTAAATAGTATGAAGTAAATTAATAACCATTTAATTATTCAATATTTTAATTTATTAAACATTAATCTTATTGAATAAAAATTTACAATTTAAGAGCCCAGAGATTATATAATTTGTCAATAATAACTAAAATATAACTGTATAATATTCTAAAATATAAATAATTTTATTTTGATTTTTTAAACATAATGTTATCATACATCTTTCAAGTTATTTATCCTTGTTCAAAATAATCAAATTAATGCATTCATTTTGAAACTACATTTTATACTGTCTATATTATTTACTTTTTAATAATTAAAATTAATTAAATCATTCTTGATGTAATTTTTGAACTATACATTCAGATGATATATCATATTGTTCACTAAGTTTTTTAGCTAAAAAATAAATTTCTGCGAGAGCTACGATTAATGCACATATTATTCCAAGTAATAATCTAAAGCCAAAGTCTAAATTACCAATTATTAATTCAACTCCAATAAAACCAAATGTGAAACCAGCAATCACAGAAAATACAAATTGTGCAACAGCAATAAGTTGTTTATTTATAAGTTTCACTGAAACATAAGATAATTTTAAGTAATATTTAAATTATAATTTAATATAGCATTGACAAATAAATATACATTATACTACATTAAAATACTTATTGAAAATCTATGAAATGTATCTTATAAACTGTTCCAAGTATTTTTTAGATTAGATAAATTTATATATATATATAAATCAGTTTATATATTAGTTTTTGTGTAGTATTAATTAAATCTTACTTTGAAAAGCGATTGTATCTTCTGGTAAATGCTTTCTAAAAATATCAACATCTTTAGTCATTGCTTTATAATCTCTAGTATTTTGTTGAGCTTGCAGTTTTTTTATTCTTGCTTCTAATTTAGCATTTCTTAAAGTAATTTTATATTCAGGTAATATAATATGAACTCCTTCAAAAAGTTCATGAATATAAATTTTTTCACTGTAATTATATTGTTGCTCTAATATACATAATTTTAACCATCTAATATCTTTTACAGATAAAAAATAATTTCTATGTTTATTCTTGTAATTATTTTGTAATACAGATATATTTACTGGAATATTTGTATTATTTTTCATATTATTTATTATAAAATTTAGAAGTTTCAAAGATGGCTTTATTTTTATACAATGATTTTTAATAGTTTCTAATGGCATTATTAATTAGAATAAAATATAATTAAGATATAATATATAGTTTTTTTTGTAAGTTAAAATAAAATTTCTTCAAGTCTTTTGTTTTATTTTGTAATCCCCGATCAGCTATTATAAATTTCTTGTTTATATCATTTATAAACTTTTCCCATGCGTCTTTGCGTATTTGTCGATTTTGTTGTAACTTATTACTCTGTAATTAAATATAATATATAAGTTATTGAGTCTACATAAGTATGTTTAATTTATATAAAGAAATTTATAAATATTTTACAATCCCAAGTTTGTCTTTTTCAAGTACACAACTGCACATACTAAAAGCAACATCAATATTAGCCTTCAAACTTGATAATTGATAATCACGAAGCTGTTCAATTTGATTCAATTGATTTTGTCCAAGGTCTGTTGAATATTTTAGGATTTTTAAAAGTTGTAAAACATCTCTGTCATCTCTCGTGTCCTAAATGTATTCAATCGAATTTAAAATAAATATCGTGAAATAATAATATGAAGTATATATTCTTATTTTTAAATTGATTTTATTAGAACTGAATTTCCATTATTTCTTAATAATTAAGAAAAATATTGTGTAATAATTTTGATTCCAATTTCATATTTGAATCGCTTAAAAATAAAATAAACAATAATTTATTCGATATCTAATTACCTGAAATTCACGTAAAAGAAAAATTACTTCACCCCGAATAAATGGTCTGTGATTAAATAATCTTGTCCAAATTTCCCCTGTATCTATGTTGTGTCATTATCAAATAAGAATAAAAAAAAAAGTTAATCGTAAAACTGTTAATTGTATTATACGTTACTACTGCATATTAAATTTTACGTATAAATTATTGAAACTCTTATTATGTGCTTACCTTTTAATACTGACGCCATATTTATTATTTAAAACGTCAAACATCAAGTATTGAGCAAATTTGAACATCGAAAATATTTTAATTATTGTTATTACCTACACAAAAATTACGATATAGAATATAAAAATTTTTAATATTAGTTCAAATTTTATTTGATCTATATAATAACTTATTAATAAACAATAAACTATTTATATATATTTATTATTATTATTTAAATAGTGTTTGAGGTTATACACTTTCATACGGAGTGTATTCAATATAATTATGGAATAAAATAAAATGTATATATCTATGTATATATGCTCTCTATAATATTCTTTGAAATAAATTTAAAAAAAAAAATGATAAAAATGAAGGAAGAATTTGGATTTATAGATGAATTTTCTACAAGTTTAAAAGAAATTCAGAGTGGAATTTTATCTAGCAATAATACAGAATCAACAATTGGTATTCGACCTCAACCAGTGATATGTAAACCTGGAAAAGTCAATGTTTCAAATTGTAAATCAGAGCCTATTCAAACAAAACGACATTGGGCACCTGGAGCATGGCAAGATGCTACTAGAACAAGTGCATTTCAACCTTACAAAGTATGAAGTTAGTTTAAAAAAATTAGAAATTCAATAAATGTACAAATGATAGCAAAACAAAAATGTTTTTTAAATATTTAGTTTCAAAAATTAAATAGAATTACTAGAAAAAGTAATTAAAAGCAAATAATTAAATGCAATTTTTAAACAAATATTTTTAATATAATTGTAAGCTTTAATAAATATACTAATATTAATAAAGACAAATTTTGATTAATGTAATGTGAAATTCTTACAAATTCAGACAAATTTGTGTTAAATTCTTGTAATTAAATATAAATGATTAAGCAATACAAGATTTTATTAAAGTGTATATTATATGTATATATAGTTTTTTATTCAATAAAATGATTGTTTTTAGGTTTGTGTAAATTATATATTTTACTATTGTAATAACATAAATGATAACTAGGTATTAAAAGTAATATTAAAAAAATCCTTAATGTAATATTGTTATTAAGAAAAGTTTTGGAAGAAAAATTTAAAAATACTTTATTAATTGTATATTTGAGTACTATTTTCAATAGTATTAATGATTTTCAGAAAAATACTTGTATAATTTAAATTATCATATAAAGCATAAAATATATTATTTAAGGCAATATAAAATACAGAGCACAAGATTTTATTTTTAGTTGTATTATTTATATAATATTTAATAATTGTATTTAATATGTTTATATGCTCTGACAATTTTACTTTATCATTCAAATTTTTATAATAATTTATGCATTTTTATATTTATAACATATATTGATTTAAACAGCCACCAACATTATTAACTAATTTACAAAGAGGTAATACACAAACTGAAGTATCATTATCTTATGGTGGTAGTGATATTACATTTTATACACTAGCTGGACAAGGTGAACTTACACATGATAATATTCATCCAGGTAGATAATTTTATTTAAAAAAAAAATAGTCTTGAAATAATACATTAAATTCATTCCTTTTGAAAACAAATATAATTTAAAAATATAAAATTCTATAAATATTATTTAACCTTTAATATTTTAAAAAAAAATTTAGGATTAACTGATACTCCAGATGAAAGTGGCTTAACTGGACTTATGTGGGCAGCTGGTTATGGTCAATTAAGCAGTGCAAAACTTTTATTAAATGCTGGTGCAGATAAAAATTATAAAGGATTGCATGGACAATCACCTTTACATTTAGCTGCAGCTTATGGACACCATGACCTTGTCAAATTGTTATTAAATCATGGTGCTGATCCAAATTTAAGTGAAGATGTAATAAAGATAAATAATAAAATATTCAGAAAAATAAAACAATATAATGCTAGCAGTAAAGAAATGTAACATTTAAAATTTTTTTTGTATCTTTTAAAAATATATATTGAGTTATATTTTAAATATTTTCATTTGAAATAAAATTACTAAGATTAAATTAATATAATAATCTTTATAATAAAATTCATGTTTACAATGTTTTTTAGGAAGGTAACACGCCTTTGATTTATGGAGCACAAGGTGATCATCCTCATGTGTGTTATGAACTTTTGACCAGTGGAGCTGATGTAACAATTACAAATGTATATGGAATTAATGCATATAAAGCATCTATTCTTAAAGGTGCATTAACAGGTATAGTATTAATTATGTTATCATTATAATTAAGTAAATTACTTGTTCCATTTAATTGTTTAATTTTTCTTTGCAGCTAAAGCAGTAATAGAAAATTTTCTTATAAGAAAAATTGTTAATTTATCACTTGATATGTTTTAATAATAGATAATATTAAATTAAATATTTTTATTTTAATTATATTAATAAATATTATTTAATACTCTTAATATTCTTTTATAACTATCTTTAATAATGTTTTTAATAAATTATTACCTTTATATTTATATAATTTATTTAATTGTTTATTATTAAAAATTATAATATATTATATATAAATATATGATCATATTTAATATAGATATTTCTAATTATGTTATTGTTAAAATTTCCAATAATTGTTTTGAAGAATCATGATATAAACCAGCCATAGCTTCTTGCAAAGCCCTTAAACAGGCAATATTAGAACCAAACCCACCAGCTCTTTCTCCTTCACTTGCAGCACGTACATGACTAATATAGCCTTGTATTTTAAGTTCTCCCCATACAGGGGGAATAGGTCCTTCAATTTCTTGAGTAATAGGAATATAATGATATATTGGTCCTTCATCGATTTTTGGTACAGACAAATAACATGTATTATTTTGTTGCCCAAATTTAATACCTGTACTGAAAGTTGTAGGTTTGGGTGCAAACTTAATCTCATCTTCAGAAGCATGAATTGATGAAGCAAATAATTGAATTATATTTCTTGCATCTTGCTCTGAAAACATTAATTCATCAATAAGTGCTTCTTTCTCTCTAATCTTATGCCTTTTTATTTCAAGTTCCTTTTTTATAAATTCTAGCCGTCTTTCTTCTTGTTCCAATCTTTCAAGCTGAAGAAGTTCTTCAAGTTCATTTTCTTTTTTACCAAGCTTTGACTTATTTTTAATTATCTGATCTTTATTTTCTTTTTTATATTGTTCAATTTTTTTATTAGTTTCAATAACATCTATATTATTAGTTAAATTATAGATAACATTTTCAATTTCTTCTAAATAATTGTCATATTCACTTTGAGTTTCAAAATCTTCTTCTCTCTTATTAAAGTCACGCAATATTCTTTTTCTAATATCTACTTCCTTTTCTACCATTGCATCTTCATATAATTGAACTCGAAAATTAGCTCTCCTTAATGCAATTTGACATTCTGGACATGAACCAGAACCTTCAAATAAATAAAAGTATTCATTTTATTCATAGCTATTTGAAAATAAGTTTTTATAAAGTTTTTGGCAAACCTTTCAAGAAAAGTAAATCGACACAACTTTCACATAATGTATGACCACAAACATTTACCATTAATTTTAATGATGGATTACGATATTTTGTTGTCTTACAACGTGGGCAAGCTTGTTCTTCCATATTTGTATTTAATAATTTAAGGGATCCAATTTTTTATGAAGGAAATTATTTAATTCTTGATGAGATAATGTTTAATTTTGTGGTTTTAATTTTCTTTTAATTTAATTAATAATTATAAAGTATATATTATTTTTACAAAAGTCTTTAAATAATAAGCTTAATTTTATTTAAAAATATTAATTATAATAATAATTATTTCTCACTATTTAATTTAAATATTAAGATAATATAATCGTGATTATGTGTAAATATAACAAAATGTATACATAGGTTTTTAATTGTACTAAAGTAATTTTAATTTATTGGCTATTTCAAACGCGCGAAATATAAACAATGAATTTTAAAAGATCCCTAAATAAGTACTAATAATATCTTACATTTTTAAAAAATATTCATCTTCATTTTGTATTAGCTTGTTGAAATAAAAATAATCTTTAACATCTAATAGATTGCACTAATAATAAATATATTAATAAAAAATAATATGGATGAAAATACTTATGATATTTTAATACTTTTTAAAATCATTGAACAATCTCCAAAATAATATTTATTAATGTAAATAATTAATGTAATCTAATAAATTTGAGAAGAATAATTATTATGAAATAAAAAATTTAAATAATTATAATTTAAAAATATAAAAAATAACATAAGCCAAAGCTAATAAAATATTAGAATAACTCCAAAATAAATATAACAATACAAATAATCATGAAATTGTATATATCACAATAATTTTTGAAGATACTTTATTGATTTTAAGTTTCTTTCGATTGTTTTTTTACATACGATTACCCTTATTGAAGATAAATCAGAAATTATATTATTAAAAGCTCTATTATTTTATTCCTTGGAGTAAGTGTATTGATAGAAGGCTGATAAAATATTTAATTCTTAAACCCATTGATTGAAATTCAAGCTTGTATTCAATATAGCCAATAAAACAATGTATTATTTTTATTGCTGTTACAAAATTTTTTAATAATACCTCACTAACTTCACATTAATTTTGTATTGATATCATTTCAGTCTCTAGTCGGTTTTTTGCTATATACACATCATTAAAATACTAATACTGCGTCTCGTACTAATATGGATAGCAAATAGCAACATTTTCTTATTGCAAAACCTTATCCATTATATGTCGTACTATGTTATGTTGAGTAGTACATTTACCATTCTGTATTTTAAATGAAAAATTTAGAATTATAATTTTTTGATGGTTTCCTTATTATTAATTAATAAGTTAATTCAATTATTTTAAACAATAAATTTTTTTACTGTGGTGCTTGATCGGATATGTTTTTTCATTAGCCCTTATTTCAAGACGAAATAAATTAATATTTTCTTTTTATCAATTGTTAAGCTTTTTTATAAATACATACTATGCTGTGAATAAAATAATAAGAAAACATAAATTTAACGATCTTTTCCTCTTACCTTTTATATTATTAATTATCATTTTCTCATACTTCGGCATATGCATATTCATTTTCGTATAGATGATAGCATATTAGCCTATTGTAATTTATTATTATTTATGTTTTATTGTAGCTTATGTTATTTATTAAATTTTATTTTTATTTGATATTTATAAAATTGATTTTTTTTAACTTTATTTTTATAGATTTTCAATTCAATATTCTGAAACCGAAAATATAAAAACAACCAATAAACATAAATCTTTAATACGTATGCTGTAAATGAATGCACAGTATTTTCATTATTAACTAGTTTACATTTTAATTTCGTAGTTTTATTTTTGAAATAGTGGGTTCTTAGAATATTTAATCTTTAATATTAATTTCATCTACTTAACTTATTTACTTAATCTTCCGTTTTTCTTTATATTATAATTTACTATAAAAAATATTGTATGACATTTATTTAAAAAATTGAATTATATAAGTTTAATCATTTAATTATATGAAACAATACATTTTGAACCGAGTAACCTAATTATTAAAATGACTAGAAATTCTAAAATATTAATTATTGGAGCTGGAGCAGCAGGTATTGCAGCAGCTGCTAGACTTTTAGAAAATGGATATAAAAATTTATTGATTTTAGAAGCAAAGAACCGAATTGGTGGTAGAATTCATACTGTACAATTCTGTAAGTATTCAAATAAACATTTATTATACATTTTTATAAAAGAATTACATTAAATTATATGTTTTGACATTTTTTATATACTTCTTGTATATTTATTAGCAGAAAATATCATCGAATTAGGAGCACAATGGTGTCACGGAGAAGATGAAAATATTGTTTATAATCTTGCTTGTCCTTATAATTTGTTAGAATCATCTAAGCATATTGAAGATTCTGCCAAACATATTTTTGTTAATTCAGTTGGAGAAGTACTTTCAGAGCAAGAAACTATAGAAATTTTAAGAATTTATTATAAAATTATTAACAATGCACACAAAGTTGTTCACAAGCCTCAAACATCATATGGAGATTATTTTAAAAAATAGTAATTTCTTATATACTTTATTCTAAAATTAGTAATTAAAAACATTATTTGTAAATAATACTGATATTAATATTAATTAAATTACTCAATCAAAATAAAATACTTTTAGTTTCTATAAAGAGATTGAAAAGAATTCATTAATTACTAAAGAAAAAGCAGAACAAATTTTAAATTGGATGCATAATTATCATAATTCAATTGAGTGTAGTGATACATGGTTTGATGTTTCTGCTAATAGATCAAATGATTATTGGATATGTAAAGGTGATCCATTAATAAATTGGAAAATGAATGGATATTCAAAAGTATTTGATTTATTAACGGTATGTGTAATATATCATTATTAATCTTAATGTTATATATTTATAAAAAATAATTTTTATTAACTTTCATATATAATCTTAGAAAAAGTTTCCCAATAATAAACAACAACTTCCAGTGTATGAAAAAATTTTATTTAATAAAGAAATTTCATTAATAGATTATAATTCGAAAGATTTTATCAAAGTGATAACATCTGATGGATCAGTGTTTGTGGCTGACAGTCTAATTTTCACACCATCCTTAGGAGTATTAAAAGAAAATTATTTAAAGTTATTTAATCCATGTTTACCAAAATCTAAAATTCAAGCAATTAAGGTTTATATATTTAAAATTATTATTTTATTAATTTTAGTATTTATATTATATTATAATATATTACATATTAATGTACATCTCTTTTAAAGGGATTAAGTATAGGAGTAGCAAATAAGGTTTTTCTTGAGTTTTCACATAGATGGTGGCCTTTAAATATAGGAGGATTTTGTTTTATGTGGTCAGAAGATCAAAAGAAACATTTTTTGGAAATATATGGCAAAGTTAATATTTTATATTTTAAACTACAATTATTTTGAAAATAAAAACATTTTCATGACTTTTAAAATATATTCCTCACAAAATTAGGAAAGATATTGGCTTTGTGATGTATTTAAATTTTTTACTGTTGATTATCAACCTAGAGTTTTATCTGGCTGGATCGTCGGAAGAAATGCAAAATATATAGAAAAATTAACAGATCAAAAAGTTTTAAATGAATTTTATTTTATACTAAAAAAATTTTTAGGTCATATTTATGATATTCCAAAACCTCAAGCTATTTTAAGGTACATAATTAAAAGATAAAATTTTAAATTTATTCTGCATATTGAATTAAATTTGAAAAATATTCTTTAGATCAAAATGGTTTAGCGACAAGCATTTCAGAGGTTCTTACAGTTTTCACAGCATAAATACTGAAAGATTGAATATTAATTCTAATGATTTAGGAGATCCAATAATAGGGATAAATAATAAACCAGTAATAAAAATTACAAATAATTTAAACTTTAAAATTTAAACAAAAGTGATTATTTTATTTCTCTATTTCATAGATCATTTTATTTGCTGGAGAAGCTACTCATGATCATTACTTCTCCACAGTACATGGAGCTATTGAAACAGGATTTCGAGAGGCTAATAGATTAATTGATTATTACAGGTATTAAATAGAAATATTAGAATATAAATATAAATATATTTTAACCGATGCAATTGCTATTGTAATAAAGATTAATTTCAGATATTGTAGATCACATCTATAAAATGCTGTGTTGAATAAAAAAAAAATTAAATGAATACTTTTATTAAAAAAGATTTTATAAGAAATTTTATTTATGTTATTAGATACACACATTTATGACAATAAATGTGATATTAAAATGTATAATATTCATCCAAAAATTTCATTTTTGTAGAATATAGAATTACTGATTTTAATACATATTTATGTATAAATAAAAAGCTTCTTAATCATTATAAGTGTGCAATTTTCTGGGAATTTATATATATTGTATTTATTTAAATACTCTATTCCGTTAATCCATTAATAGTAATAAAATATTTAATTTGCGTTTAATAATAGGATACAAAAAAAACCTAATTTAGATTCACCATGCATAACAGTAAAATGAAGGTAGATTCTACTTTGAGAAATAACTTAATATCTCTGTATTCAGTAATGTTAATCATATATAATAATTATTTTTGAAAAACATATTTGGGTCAAAATTATATAAGTAAACATGTATTGAATCATGTACCCTACGTAAATTTTATTTTATTTCATTCAATCTGAATAAATACTAACCTAACTTAGTTTTGATTGTCTCAATGTATGTAATATATGCAGTATCTATGTTTTATTGAATAGATGTATATTGTAAGTCTTTTGAAATCGTTTGAACGAAAACTTAAATAATAATATTGATAGTAGTGCATTACAGTGATAGTAATTTACAATATAAGTACTAAAGAGTTTTTTATTTTAGGTAATATAATAGAGAATAATTTAATTACTATACAAAAAATATTTTTCATATTTTTATAAAAAATCTAATTAACATGGTTCTTACCCTGCATTTTCATCTCCATAACAGAATATTTTCTTTAAAAAAAATTTTTTTGTAAAATAAAATTTTTAATGAAATCTTTACAAAAACTGTATTCTCTGATAATAAACTTAATTTTATTTTCTTTTAAACACGGCATTTGGTGTAACTTTATTAACCTGTTCTAATACTTAATTTTCAATTAATCAATTTTGTATATTTTAATTTGTAAAATACTTAAATTAAAGTGTTTTCGGTTTTTTTAATATAGTAAAGGATTGTATAAATTTTTTTTATGAATTTGATTTTTCATTTCCTCTTATTAAGTAACAAAGATTGATAATTACATTATAAATATTTAATCAATAACTGAAATTGTGTAATTCATTATAAGTAAGGCAAATAATTTATTACTTTGTATATAAATATATTATAGAAAAGATTTTTAGAAATCATAGATACTTTATCAAAAGGAATATCCGGCTGGGACTAATTCCATGAATTATATAATCGAAACATCACAGAAAAATATTGTTGTAATGAATTGAATATTAAACAGTTAAGTTACTTTCGATAAAATAAAAATATATAATAAAATATAATAAAATTAAAAAATGATATTTAAAATATATAACCAATTAATACATAAATAACGTATTAATGAAAGCAATTATAATATGTTAATACATAAAGCAATGAAATACATTGCAATTAAATTAATCAGAATATTAAAATCAAATATGAATTTATATATTAAAACAAAGTTTCTTAACAATAAATTAATGATAAGATGGGTATTTAATAACTCTCATTTGCTAATTTAGATTTCTTATATTTATTTTGTTTTATTGTATCTATTAAATTTTTTCTATATATTTTCAACTTTATATCTTTTTATTTATAAAGTTACGAGGAATTAATTTTTTTCCTGCTAGTTTAATTTATAATATTTTGATTTTCTTAAATTTTTTATTTATAGAATGTTTAATATTATGTGTTGTAGAAAATATTCTAATTTTATCTTATAATTAATTTTTTTCTATAATTTCAAAAAACGGTTATTTAATACTGAACGACGATACTTTACAAAATATATAACAATTAAAAATTAATTTAAAAAATTTTAGTTATCTGTATCGTATAAAAACTATTATATATTATATAGTATATAAAAATAAATATACTATAATGTGTGTGCTGTGACAAAAACTTTGTTTCAAACAATTGAATTGAGTTGACCACATTTTGTGTTTTAGTTTGATATAGATTAGTATAGTCAATTAACCTATTTCAATATTCACTATCAATACAAATTCATCAAAAACAAAATTGAAAATTAAATTTAAGTTAGATTTTTAAATTGGAGAAATTTAGTTAAATATATATATATTTAGAAATAATTAACTTTACGTATATTCTAAATCAATATTAAGTTTGTTTATAAGATAACCTTAAAAATATGATTCATCGTTTTTTAGAAAATATTTTTGCAATCACAAAATATATATTTTATTAAAATTTTAATAAAATGAATACTTTAATGTATGATGATCAAGATCCAGATTATTTTATGTTATTTAATAGTGACATAAGTCATCAAAATATTTTTGAGAAAAATGTTCGCTCTAATACAGCTAAAAAAATATCTTCAATCATAGAACCTGAATTTATAAATGAAATTAATAATAAAAAAACAGAAATTTATAAAATTTACAAAAATCTTAGCAAAGCTTGCAAAATGTTACATTATTTACGATTTTCTATAATAACTAATTTTTATAATCGAGAAAGTATTTACAATAGTGACATACAAGCAATAAAGCAGTCACGTTTACATTGTACACTTACTTCTTTTACAAAAAATGCTTCTACCAGTAATATTAAATACACAAATAATTGTTTGAATGAATCAAATGAAATTATGAGAATAAAGAGGAAAAATAATAATGAATATAATAACTTCAAAAGAAAATGCTTAAAAAATCTGAATCCAGAAGATGTTTTAAATAGACCATCTTTGCCAATTTCAACCTTAAAACTAAAGAAAAGAATAATTGTTGGAAACATATCAAAATGGATTATACCTGATCTGAGAGATAGTAATTCAACTCACAAATGGACTATTTATATCAGAGATAGTAATAAATGTGATGTTGGACAATTTATATCTAAAGTTCGTTTTTTTTTACACCCTAGTTACAAACCAAATGATATTGTTGAACTTACATCTACTCCTTTTCACTTATCTAGATATGGATGGGGTGAATTTCCTGTAAGAATTCAATTGCATTTTACAAATAGTTTTAATAGACCAGTTGATATTATTCATCACTTAAAACTGGATCGAACATTCACAGGTCTTCAAACCATTGGATCAGAAACAATAGTTGACCTATGGATTAATGTAAAAGATATATCAAGTATATCATCAAACATAAAAAAAACTAATAATAAAAATAATATTTCAATCAATGATAAATTTAAAATAGATTTATCAGCAAACCGTTATTTCAATAATGATCATAATTATATTGGAACAAGTGTAAGAAATGATGAAGAAAATTCTAATTTGCAAAATTCCCAAACTTTTACAGATCTCAAATTAAAAATACTACAAACAAATTGTGATACGTCAGAAAAATATTCAAATTTTAATTTGAAAATAAAGAATAATGTTTCAATAAAACATAAAAATATTGATATTTTAGCAGATTCTGAACAACTGTCATTAATACAATTAAATATTTTGGAGGACGACGTTATTAAGCACTGCTCAACAAATAATAAATATAAATCTCAAGAAGTCACCAATATCAAGAATTCACTAAAACATTCTTATTTTGATACCAAAATATATTCTAAATGTGATAATAATAGTGATGAAAATTTAAAAATATTAATAAATTTAATAAAATCTATAAAACTAAATACTTCATACAGTATATTGAAATTTATTATGAAAAGGATACCTCTTATTTCTAAAAAGTCATCAAAATCCTATTATAAATTACTTCATTACTATCGAAATGAAAACTATCATCAATTTTGTAACTATTCCAAAGGAAAACAGCAATCTTTAGAACGATACAGAGCTATATATGCTCTCACTATTATTCAAAATATAAAGTATTTCAAATATACTTATAATATTAATGAATTGATAACTTGGACTAAAAGATATTGTTACAGTCCAATTTTAAATTTGAAAAATATTCATAAAATATGTATATCAAGTAAATCAGATAATATTAAAACGAATAGTTTGTATGAATACACATCAACAATTTCAGATCAACTTTATAAGTGGTTTTTACAGTGTCAAATAACGAGTCCGAACTTAACAAATTTTGCTTCTGATAATAATGATCAGATAGATATTTTAAATATTCCATTAAAAATTCCTGATGCTTTAGCTGTATATTATGATAACTTATATGAAAATCATAATACAGTATTTTTAATCAAATATCCTGAAACAGATGACATTTTAAGCGAATATGTTTGTAAGTCTGTACAGAAAATTGGACTAAAATTTGTAAACGAAGAAATTCTACCAGGGATTTCACACCATTCAGCAATTCTACTTATGACAAAAGCTATTGAATTTTTAGTTGATGACCTCATTAGAATAGCTTTTTCATGTGCTTTAGATAAATTAAAAAATGAAAGAAGTAGTATATTTATTAAATTAGATGATGTTCGTATGGCTTTATTAAAAAAAGAAGAGTTTGAAATTTTTACAAATGCTGGATTAGGATCAGAAGGATGAAAAATAGATTAAAATACAGTAATTTAAGTCAATGAAATACAAATGAATGAACTTTGGATAATTTATATCTGCATAATTTTATCTTTATAATTTTTTAAATATCTTTTGTTATAAATTATATATTTAAAAATAAATAATTAATAAAATATAAGAAGAAAAATAATGTATTTAATTGAATTTTAAGTTAAATATTGTAAAAATCTGTCTCTTATGCATTATATAAAAGAATATAAATTGTACTTATACAACTTTTATTTAAAAAAAAAAAGGAAAGTATAAATATAATTAGAATTAATTTAATAATTTTTAGTGTTTTTAAAAATTATTCTACAAAATACACCTTTAATTTATTATAAATAATATAAAATAATTTTTAATCGACTTGTGGTCAACACAAACTTAGATCAGTAATTTCAAGTCAAAAAAAAGAATTCATCTACATCAAATTTATGATCGAAGTATCTAAAAAATAATTAATAAAAAAATATTTTGTTTTTTTGTATAATATACATAATAAATTATAAAATGAGTCAATAATTAATCATCTATTCAAGTATTAATACATATTAAAAATGAGCTTTAAAGAAAAAAGTACTTAATGTTCTTAACATTTATATTTATTAAACATGCAATGTTCAATACACGTTTTATAATAATTCACAAAATTTCTTTTCATATTGCAGCAAGTTGCCTTTATTATCTAGCTACAAATTATATTTGAAAAGAAAATATCTTTATATTCTAAATTATGGGACCCTTTTAAATAACGAAATTATTGTAGATAAAGGGTTTATTAATTTAAATGTTACGTATATATCTTAAATAAATTAAATAATTTCATTGTAGTTATATTGGCGTACAACTTAATTTAATATTTAACCTTACATTTCAGTAATTGCGTAACCGGAAAATAAATAATTTCATTATACATACTTTTGTCAACCCATTGAAAGAATATCCATCAATAAATATTTTAATTACATTTTTATAGAAAGAATATTTGTAGAAAGAATTTATTCCATAATTTAAAATATTTTATGAAATTACTTCATGAAAAAAATTAAAGATCAGGTATTTTCAATTGTCTTACATACCTACCATACATAATAAAACATCAAATATTTTTATTTTTTGTACAGTTATAGCGCGGCAAAAAACAGGTAGTCGTTAGGTAAAGTAAAAACGACAACAGTGACGCGTACGAGTTAATTCGTCACAACAGGTAAAAGATTACAACTATTAAGATTAGAATACAAAATATTTATTTAAATTTTGAATATTAATTTAATACTTATGCAGTATATAAACAATTGTTAATAATGGAAAAGCAGCAACAGTTATTATTAGAAATGCTGATTAGTTATATTATTCTTGTACTACTTGTTGCCGTTTACGGTGTCTCATCAACTGCTGTAGGACAGAATGATGAGGAAACTGATTTAGGAGAAAATCAAGGTTTATACAGTGCTAATGATCTCGTTATAATATTAAATGAAAATAATTTTAAATCCAGTGTTTACAACAGTAAGAGAGCGTGGTTTGTCGAATTTTATAACAGTTGGTGTGGATTCTGTCAGCGGTTTGCACCTGTATGGAAGTCTTTAGCCAAGAATATACATGGTGAGATATTTTAAATTTTAATTATAATAGAATATTTATTTAAATCTACATTATTTAGAAATTATAATCTGATAGAAGATATTGCAGAAAGTGTTTATAAACAATAGTAAAAGTATGTATTACCTGTGAAACAAGTGATATACAATGCAATGTACTAGCATTGTAATATTATTTTTTAAAAAATTTTGGAAAATGAATTTTAAACATAAATAAATAAATAAATAAATATAATAAACATAAATAAACTTAAATTTCATACATAAATAGAAAAAATTAATTTTTCATAATGCTTAAAAAACCATACAGATTTATGTATTTAGATATTTAAAAATGATTATAATATAATATATTTTTTATTTTCTTAGATAACAACAGAAAATAATTAAAATTTCTTATTTAATTATCAATTATTTATAGTTGTTAAAAAAATAATAATTTATTTCATGACTATTTCCTTTTATACCTAATTTTATCAATAATTTTATCTATAATTAATTATTTAAATTTTGAAAATATGTATGTTTTATAATTTGACAAATCTTACATATTTATTAGGTAATAAAGATATTATTTATTTCAATTACAGTTCATATTTACCCATTTTTGTTTATTTACTTATTTATACTACTTAAAAAAATAATGTATACCATTTTAATCTGCCATCAAACCAATTGATAAAGTTGTATAAACAATAAATATTTTTTATTTCTTGTGGAATTGAGATATATTTCACAAACAATTATAACTAAAATAAACCATATCAAATATATATTTGAAAAATTCTTTATGTATTTCCAAATTACAGAATAATATAAAATTAAAAAATATATAATTATTTTAATTTATAATATTAAATAAAATATATTTTATTAATCTTTGACTTTTCTTTATATGTACGTATATAGATTTATATTTTGTAATATTATTTTTTAATTTAGGTTGGAAACAAATAGTCTCAATAGCTGCTATAAATTGTGCCAATGATGATAATAATCCCCTTTGTAGAGAATATGAAATTATGAAATATCCGACTTTAAAATTTTTTCCAATCAATTCGAATCCAGATTTTTTGGGATTAGAAATTCAAGAAGATAAAGACGAAATTCTTTCTATGCAAAGATTGATTGATCAATTGGAAAAAGAACAACAAGAACAACGAGGAGGTTTGAGATGGCCAAATATTGTGCCTTATCGGTATTATTGCAATTTATAATATACAGTCCTTATTTATTTGCAATCAGTTAATAAAATAAAATAAATTTATCTTAAAATGAAATTTGAATTTATAAGATTTTAGCCATACACCCAAATAAATGTATAATAAAATATTATTTTATAAATGAATATTCTTTTTTCAATTTTAGTGGCACTGAACTAGATACCTTGTGGCTTGGAGCGCCACGTAATGTTGAATATGAAATTTTAATTTTTGAAAAACCTAATTCATATTTAGGGACTGAAGTTATTTTGGATTTACATAGAGTAGATACTATTCGAATTCGAAGAGTAACTTCAGAAAATGAGTTTCTTTGTGTAACAAGTAAAGTAACTAAATTTCCTAGTGTGTTAATTTTTGATAGAAATAAATCACAAACATTTTTAAAAATTAATGCTATTACACGAATTGGTATTAGAGAAGCAATTTTAGAATTCTTAAAGTTTAAGAAAGTATCTGCAGATATTGGAGAAGATAGTATTGATGAAAGAGATGAACAGTATGCCTCTAAAATTATAAAAAATAAAAGTTTGGCAAAAGAATTTAATGTAAAAGATAAACTGTATCAATTAGATTTGGAAAATACTCTTTATTACTCATTAAATAACGAGATTCCACTTTCTGTAAATATTTCTGGTGAAAAATTAAAAGCACTAAAAACATATTTAAATGTATTGATTGAGTACTTTCCAGTATATTTGACAAAAGGCAAAATCTATTTACAAGTGTTAAAAGAAGTAGTTGAAAATAAAAGTAATATTAGTGGTAAAGAATTTAGAGAACAAGTACAAGTTAAAGAAAAAAAATTTACATTAGCTAATTCTGGTCTGAAAAATTGGATTGGTTGTAAAGGAAGTACACCAAATTTTAGAGGATATCCTTGTGGATTATGGACATTATTTCATACATTAACTACAGCGGCAGCAGAAGAAATTGATGATGTACATAATAATAATCTTCCAGTATTACAAGTAATACATGGTTATGTACAAAATTTTTTTGGTTGTACAGATTGTGTAACACATTTTCAAGATATGTCTAAAAAAAGAAAATTGTTTGAAGTTCATGGAGGTAATGAAAGTATTTTATGGTTATGGAAAGCACATAATGAAGTAAATGAAAGATTAACTGGTGATACAACTGAGGACCCCGAACATAAGAAAATTCAATATCCTTCAGTTGAAAATTGTCCCAAGTGTAAACTTTCTAATGACAAATGGGATGAAAATGAAGTTTTAAAATATCTTAAAATAAAATATAGTAAAACTAATATAGATTTCCAAGGTATTAATGATAAATTAGTTCAACATAAAATAGATACCATTGTATTAGACTCAAGTTTGAATCATAATAAACTAAGCTGGGATTTTACTATCTTTGATATTAGTATTTGTGTTGTGCTTTATATTATATCTGCTGGGATACTAATATTAGTTTGCATTAAATTTGCATTTAAAAAATCACATAAAAAAAAAATATTGTTTCAAAAGTTATTCGGTTTAGTATAAATATGTATGTATAAAAGTTGTTTCTAAAAGATAGTATTGATATAAATGATGACTATCCCTGAGTGATTCCAACAACTATTTTTAAAAAATTTTATTATATTATAGAAATTCTAATTGTGTATATAGATTGAGATTTTTCAGTTTGAAGTAATTACAGGATTAGATTATAAAAATGAGAATATTCATTTCTTATTTATAAGTTAGCCTTAATGTACATACACTCTATTCAGAAATGTAAATATTTTAAGTTACTGTATTTTTTTTCAAATTTTGCACTTATATAATTTATCAATTTTTGCCTCAACTTAAGTTTTTTAAGGCTGTTTTGTTAAGACTGTTGGTTATTCTCAACTTTATTTTAAAATATTTTAAATGATAAAAAAGTATTATTTCCCAAATAAATATATAGATCCTATATATTTTTATTGTCATTAACCATGTATGTTTTATATGTTACCGATTTATCAATTTTTAAAATAAATTACAATTAATATTTGTTTGAATATTTGTTAATATATGTATCATCTTTTTAAATAGAAACATATACACTATTGGATTAATGTAAAACTAAAGAAGGAATCATTAATAAAAAGAATATTTTTGGATTTAAAATTTGGATATAACATTTTTGATGATTTAGTTTTGTTTCTCACTAATTTTCATACTAAATGATCTACAGAGGTTAAGCTCCAACTAGTTTTCGTATAATGGATAATTTAATTCTTTTATTAGTAATCGACTCTTTTGATATTTATTATATGTAAGAGGATTACAACATATTTGGTGACGAAGTGTATTAAATATGAATATATTGATATTTAGAAATTAAATGTATATATACATAATGTTTATGATTTAATTTTGTTGTAAAATCGTGACCACTAATGCAACCTTTGTTACAAAGGTATATATACACGTCCAAAAGTGTAAAATTTACAAGTCTGCCTAAAATAGATCTCATATCTCTACGCTATTAAAGTGCAAAAAATTAATGTATTAAAAAATCTAAAAAGGATATCTTATAATTATATAATTTAACTAAATAAAAATCAAACAATTTAATGATATACTTTTACTTATTTAATTATTAATTATTTAGTTCAATTCTTTTGATTGCGTTACGAGTAAATTAAATAAATGGATTTAAATTGTCTTGAGTTTTCGATAGTTATTAAGAATAATATCTTCCATATAAGTGATATCTTATCACAAAAAATATAATTATATCCTTATAATAAATTATCTATAATAAAACATTCGCTTGAACTAGAAATAAAAATAAAAATAAAAATTATTAATATTATATATTATAATATAGTATAATACAAATAATTTTTTTAATGTTTTTGAAATAATCAATTTATCAAATAAAATTGACATAGTAATTATATAAATTGATTCAAATAACTTAAATTAAAATATATATCATAACTGTTTAAAAATAGTGTACCGGGCGAGGAGGGCCAAGTAACTAAGATTAGATGTGAGCTCCTGATGTTGATAGGAGGATTGCAGGCTAGTGGACAAGATAGTACATGTATTCAATAAAGAGCAGTTTTTTTATTTAGTTTGTTTTATTTATGATTGCA